AATTGATGCTTTTGAATTGTGGTGCTGGTGGAGGCTCTTGAGAGTCCCCTGGACTGCGAGGAAAACAAACCTATCAATTCTAAATGAAATCAACCCTGAGTGCTCACTGGAAGGATAGATCCTGAAGCTGAAGCTCCAATACTTTGGCCACCTCATGAGAAGAGAGAAGACTCCCTGGGAAAGACCTTAATGTTGGGAAAATGTGAAGGCAAGAGGAGAAGGGGACGACAGAGGACGAGATGGTTGGACAGTGTCCTTGAAGAGACCAACATGAATTTGACCCAACTTCGGGAGGCAGTGGAAGGCAGGAGGGCCTGGCGTGCTCAGGTCCATGGGGTCGCGCAGAGTAGGACACAACTAAATGACTAAACAACAACAAGTGTGGGGAGTATTTATTTTATTTATTTATTTTATTAGATTTCTACTCCGCCCATCTAGACCAAAGGTCTACTCTGGGCGTCGGATTTGATTTGTTTACCTGCTCTGAGCAGGGGGGTTGGACTCGATGGCCTTATAGGCTGCCTCTAGCTCCATTATTCTGGGATTCGATAAACTGTGTTTTCTCACACACACACACACACACACACACACATACACACTCCACATCCCAAAAACTGAGAAATCAGAACAGAGAGTGAGAGAGTGAGTGAGAGAGAAATGCACTGTTCTCTTACCTGGTGTGGCTTTCAAACATGACATCACATATTGGCTGACTGCCCTTTCTTTCAACCGCCACAGTGGAATTTCTCAGTTGGTGAAGAGCAGATCTGTTCACCATAATTTTTTTTTTTAAAAAAATATGATGATTAAAACATTACCTCATAAATGGTGTGTCTATAGGTCAGTCTGAGCAGACATTCCCCATGGCTTGCCGATTTTTTTCCTGGAAAGCAGGCCAAGGCTTAGAACGTCTAATACTGAAAGGTCATTGTACGATAGTCCCCTTGGAGAAAGATTTTGGATAAAAGCTACTGGTGTGACATGCTTCCCCCACGTCCCATGGGCAGAGATACAAGGACAGCCTGTGGTGAGCCATACTCATGCTTTTTTTAAAAAAAAAAAATCTCTCCACATTTTTGGATTATCACCAGAGGTCTCACAAACAATTCCAACGAATGTAACTGGAGAATGAATGAGAAATTTGCTCCTTGGCATGGAAATTCAGCTACTGCGGTAACAGTGTTTCCAGCAAAAAATGAAAAAAGAAAGAAAGAAAGAATGAAAAATAAAAAACTATGAATGGATACTGTGGAAAGTTGATGAATTAACCCTACAATGAATCCATGGGAGGAATTGGGTCTTAGATATCCTCATGCGTGAGATTAATTTCCCGTCTCCAGAGATGCAACGCTAAGAGGTGCAATAGTTAAGATTAAAACAGAAATTAAGGAATGATATTAAGACACAAATGAATTCAAGGCAATTGAAAACACAGCAGCAAAGAAAGTTTTTTAAAAATATCTCACGTTAACATGGAACAAAATAAGCCCCTAGCTGTGCTTGGAGTACCATTTCAAAGTACTGGGAGTAGCCACCAAGAAGTTCTGTAAACCTGTGTCCTGCAGACTGGCCAATAATACAGAGTCCGTCCCAAAACATTTGAGGTGAATTGGACAGGAGATGTCTGCTCTCAGTGCCCATCCTGAAAGCAGAAACATTCAGAGGGCCAGATACTTGGAGAAGTTAGTGTTTTGAATTACAACAGAGAGCCTTCAGGCATCAGGAAAAGTAAGGAGTTCTATCTGACATCAGCTTTTCTGGACCCCAAAATAGGGGATCTGGTGGCGCTGCGGGTTAAACCGCAGAAGCCTCTGTGCTGCAAGTTCAGAGGACCAGCAGTTGTAAGATCAAATCCATGTGACGGAGTGAGCTCCCATCGCTTGTCCCAGCTCCTTGCCAATCTAGCAGTTCGAAAGCATGTAAAAATGCAAGTAGATAAATAGGTACCACTTCGGTGGGAAGGAAACAGCGTTCCGTGTCTAGTCGCACTGGCCACGTGACCACAGAAACTGTCTTCGGACAAACGCTGGCTCTATGGCTTGGAAACAGGGATGAGCGCTGCCCCCTAGAATTTGACACGACTGGACTAAATGTAAAAGGGAACCTTTACCTTTACCATTCTGGACTCTACCCAGCTTCATCAGACGCTTCATCAGAAGCCTGATTGCACCCAAAAGGGCCATTTTAATGGGAGTGATCTTCCTTAAAACCATCTTTCCATCTGCCAGAGAATTGCTCCTGGTTGACTCCCAAAGGTAAAAGCCCTATCACTGAATCCAAAAGGCCCAGCTTGGTCACGGATCATGGCCAGGGTGAACCCCATTTCCTCCTGTGTCCTGTGTTCATCAGGAAAAGAGATTGCACTGGATCGCTCCACAGAGAGTTCAAGTGGTTTCGTAACACAGTTTCCACTTGTTATTATTGTGGTTTAACTAAAACTTCCAGTGACTACCAGCGCTATCCAGAAGGAGAGGAGATGCTAGAAATTGTCACCCGAAAAATTAATTTCTCCAAGCTCAGGGAAATCTGTCAAAGAACTTCCTGGGCTAAGATATAATATAGAGAGTCCTGTCGCATATATTGCTGCTTGAGGCTTTCCACCTCAAAATAGTTTTTGGGAAATAGTTCTAAATTTTCCCATAGGGATTTAAAAAAAGCAGAAAACATGCCATTTGCCTTATAAATCTACAGCAGGGGAACTTCGATGAATACCGAGGAAAAGAAAATGCTTCGTTCTGCCCCCTCTCCCTGTTGGGTACACAACCCGAAAAGGAAGATACTCCACTTTTTTTTTGGATGACCACAAAACCACTTATTTAAAGAGGGAAATGGTAGCCAAACCCTTGGGCCCTGCGTAGACCAAATGGCTCTTTCTTCTTTTCAGACCAGCCAATTCAGACTATTCCATTCACGCAAGCGGGCATCATGATATGATGACACGACTGTATATTTCCATTGGACGTGGCACTTCAGAAACCTTTGCCAGGAGGAGCAATTTTTAGAAGCGGGAGCCAGGCTATGAATTTCCCACTTGTGTGCTATCACAGCCTCGGCATTCTTGAGCCCAAACACCCGCTCTCACCCACCCTCCCCCAGGTCAAATTGTGGCGCTTGCTTGCGATGGCCAGTTAACTCACCCACAAGGCGATGGCTCGCAGCTCAAGGGAAGTCTCGCTGTTTGATGTGGGGGAAAGGAGAGAGCTATTTATGTCCTGTGGATCTACTGAGACAGATGGAGGGGAGAGGGAAGGAGAAGATTCCCAGCGAACGAGCCAGGAGTTGGGCTGATTGGCAGTGTAATTTCCAAGTCTCTGTGCTTCTTTAGCTGTCACTGAGCTTGGGAAAGTAACTTCCTTGGACTACATTTCCCAGAATCCCCATAAATTATTGCTGGCAGCATGTTTCTGACATTTATAGTTCAGAAAGGTAGGTTTGCCAAACTCTGAGTTCCTCCTATGGTGGAAATAATTCCAACAGCAAAAGTGTCTCGTTCAAAAACACCAGGATGAGAGTCCAGTCAACTCGTGGAAGTTCACACCCTTTACTCATCCAGAAGGCTATGGCTGAGATAACTAACAGGTTTTAATTGTTGGAAATTGATTTAGATTGTTACATGTAGCAAACAAGTTTTACCGGGTATAAGATTTTATGGAGTGCAGAGGCTGTGTTCTATGGCCACTGATGCCCAATAAAACTTGTTCATCTTTTGGCTACAACAGACTGACACGGCTACCCGTCTTCCCCAGCCCAGACACCACTTTTAATGACTTCTCTTCTTCTGTTAAGTTTGGTGTCACGACATGGCCTTACAGCCGGTGCCAGCTTTCTGCACGAACAAAGTAAGTTACAGCTGAAGGTTTGCAACTGTACGAGATCTCTAAATAGAACATGAAATATTAGCCAGACTCCTGTCTATTTGCGTGTTCATCTAAGGATGATCGTGCACATTCTTCCTCTTATCCGTCCAGCTGACCTCCATACAGAATTGCACATGTGAGTGTGTGAACGCACAAAGGAGAGCCAAGAAGAGGTCCATTTCTGGGCATAGTTCAAAGTGCTGGTTTTGACCCATGAAGCAACCTGGATGCAAGCTATTCGAGAGACCAAATTTCCCCATAAGAGTCTCCCCTGGTTTTGAAATCTTTAGGCAAAGCCTTTCTCTCGGTCATGGGACATGGTGGCACTGCAGGTTAAACCGCTGAAGCCTCTGTGCTGCAAGGTCCGAAGACCAGCAGTCGTAAGATCGAATCCACATGATGGAGTGAGCTCCTGTCACTTGTTCCAGCTCCTGCCAACCTAGCAGTTTGAAAGCATGTAAAAATGTGAGTAGATAAATAGGTTCGAAAGCATGTAAAAATGCGAGTAGGTAAATAGGTACCACCTCGGTGGGAAGGTAACGGCGTTCTGTGTCTAGTCATGGTGGCCATGTTACCACAGAAACTGTCATAGTTCTTTGGGAGGTGAGGGGAACCTTTACCTTTACCTTTCTCTTGGTCAAACCATCCTCACAAGGAAGACTGGGATCCATACAAGACAGGGCCTTTTGAGTAGTTGCTCCCAGGCCTTCTTTAGCCTTTGTCTTTTATTATTAATGTTAAAAAAAGGAAGCTGCTACGGTCATAGTTCTTTGGGAAGTAACCTTTAGAGAACTAATGGGTAGGGTGACTGTGATTTCTAGGAAGTATCCTGGCAGCTCCACTCTCTCTTTTTACAACAGGAAGCAATGCCAGAGAAGGCCATGCACTTCAGAGGTAGGCCGTGCTTCAGGTGAGCAAAATATAGGTGTCTGTAGGTGTTTGTGGGCTGAACTCCCAAGAATTCTGCCTGGGGAATTCTTGGGAAATTCAAAGTCTTGGGAAGTCCAAAAACACAAAAAAGCATATGCCTGTCCTTGCTAACTTGGGACATGAAAGTTGAAGGAGAAATCACTATTGCCAAAAAAAATTAAAATGATGGGTTTGATTCTCTTTTTCCTCTCCCCCACTTTTTTTCCTTGTTAGAATCTGACTTCCGAGGCCCGCACAGTCTTGATTCCACTTATACAAGCATCGAACAACAACTGAACGAGACGCTGAGGCAGCGCAGGCATGCCGGTGAGGATGATTACAATATTGAGGTGCTTCTTGGTGTGGACGACTCTGTGGTCCGATTCCATGGCAAAGAACACGTGCAGAACTACCTCCTCACCCTGATGAATATAGTAAGTGCATCGCCTCTGTGTGAGAGTTTGGAAAAAATTACGTTTTTGGTGTACAGAAGCTGCCATGATGTCGGAGAATGCAGCCCAATGGGAATCTTGACCCTGCACACCTTCGACCAATCAGAGTGAAGAAGGCAGACCAGCGATTCCCACCCTTGGGATCCCAAATGTTCTTGGACTGCAACTCCCAGAAATCTTGGCCAGCCCAGCTAGTGGTGAAGGATTCTGAGAGTTTTAGTCCAAAAACATCTGGAGCCCCAAAGTTGAGCGCCACTGTAGTGGACTATGGCAGCCGTGGGAAGTGGTTTGGAAGGTGGAGGCAGCTGTGGACCTACATCTTCACAAATAGACCGCTCACCTCTTTCTGGGCTCTTGACACTTCTAGAGTTTTTTGGTGTCACAATCCAGCTGTTGGGAGATTTAATTCAAAAAAGGAAATTGCCTGGCATGAAATTGTAGCGTTTTGATGCACCGGCTCACTGCTTTGTCCTACAATCTGCAAAGCCACCCACTGGCTATTCATCTCTCTTTTTTTATTTAGTGGAACAGACTTCTTGCAATGTTCTTGTGGCTAACCTTCCCCTTTTTTATTTGCCAATAACCGGTCTCATTTGTAACCACCATCCCTCCGACCGGCTCCATGAGAAGTGCTTGGTGAGCAAAGAAAGGAAATCAATCTGTCTGCCTCTTGAAAAGGATGACCTGTGTCGATTTGTTCAGGGGCCTTTCAAGAGCACCTTATGTTGCTGAAGCCGTCAAAAGACACAAGTAATCTGTGTGCCTGCGGGAAATGGATTGCTTTCAAGAAACATCTGAAAACCTTTCCACTTCGATTGAATCCATTAGCAAGGAGTGAAAAGACAGATCAATCTCTGCTCTATGTAGCAATGCCTTCACTGTCTTCCGCGTTGGTATGGTTCAAAGTCCTTGATGAGAAAAGTTGAGATATGTGCATTGCTATTCGGCTCAATTGAAACTGTTGTACTTTGGGCAGCTCAAACCAATTTGCTCCCCAAGTTGGATCAGACCAAAAGCCTATATGATTCTCTTCACACTAGAGCCACCAGATGCCTACGAGAAGCCCATACAATGTCTCATACACAGGACATTGTAGAGGTCATTCATTCCTGGAGTTGTTTCAAGTCAGAAGAGACTTGATAGCACATAACAGCGACAGCATCTGCCTAGTACTTGGGAAAGTTCCTTTTTTTCTACACTCCAAGTTCAAATTTATTGTATTAACTAAAAGCTGTCAAAATTGTTTAAAATACAAATCATTCATAGGCATCCTTCAGTCTCGAGATACCATGGTAACATGTTCTGAATTGAGGAGTGTCCTCTCCAGAGCATGAAGCCTAGGTAAAGTAATATGGAGGATAGGCTGTTAACCAAGCAGCAAATCCCCCCTCTCCACATTGCTGAAATGGTCCAATGGAAAGGCAAGAGCCAATACAACTGGTTCCAGCAATGTCGCAGGAGTTGGCAGAACGACACATGCTGCCTTCGGGACTCCAGCTCCGGATTTTGCCTCTAGGTTAACTCCTGAAGCCTTTTCCATGAGTGGATATAGCCACAAGGCAGTGGATGTTTGAAATTGGAGTTTTCCTTCTCCTAGATGGGTTGCATTGCATGGCTGACGAGCCCCACCTACCTGGCCTGCTCTTTAATAGTGTGGAAGTATGATCCAACCCTTAGAACGTTCCTGCCTCCTAGGTGTATGCAAATCTAATTGGCTTTCCTATTTGCCATATTAGGGCCAGAGATAGAATCAGAGAATTTGAGAATTTCTCCTGGGACATGCTCATTTAAAGCAGAAATCCCCATCCCCTAGGCCACACCTCCAGGTCATGTGGTGGAGGAGACAAAAAGAAAACCCAGGGAAAAAAACTCAGCAAAATATCCATGCAAACATACCTGGCCTTCAGCCTCAGCCCAGCTTCCCAGGGAAAAAGGCCCAGGGTCCTTTTTGCTCATTTAAAGCAGAAATCCCCATCCCCTAGGCCCCCTTCGGTACACTCAAAATTCAAGAAATTCCCATTGGGAGTTTGGAGAGGAATTTTTCACAGCTTCCTCACACAAAGAACACTCTCTTAGATGTTCCTACAAACATTTGGGGATAGGCAGCACCATAGAGGAGGCAGGCTTAGGCGATGGATGGATGGATGGATGGATGGATGGATGGATGGATGGATGGATGGATGGATGGATGGATGGATGGATGGATGGATGGATGGATGGATGGATGGGTTAGTCAATGGATGGATGGATGGATGGATGGATGGATGGATGGATGGATGGATGGATGGATGGATTGGAAACTCTTTAGAGGTGTGACCATGGCAACAACCTGCACTCCAAAACTGACCACTACCCCGTTACTGATGAAACACAAGACAGGACACAGCATAATCTTGTTAACTAGAACAGCCAGATATTGATGAGACAGGAGAAAAGCAGAACATTCTTTGCCCTAGAGTAGAACTGTTGGAGTCATCAAAAGTTAACGCTCATATAACCTAAAGGGGAGATGTTTATGTGGAGGGCATCCGCAGTTTAAAGCATTATCTACTTCGATTCAAGCTGGCAAATTGTCTGCAGCATTCAATCAATGTTCCTTTAGATCTATTATTATTTATGATTGTGTTCCTTTTCTTCTTTCCTTCTCCCCCCCCCCTTTAGGTGAATGAAATTTACCATGATGAATCCCTAGGGGTCCACATCAATGTTGTGTTGGTTCGTATGATGATGTTGGGCTATGCCAAGGTAAATAAACCAGGTGAATGGTCCATCTCTCTCCTTTCTCACCCAAACTGCTCTTAAAGGTTGAGATGTTACTATGTATGTATATATTTCGTCAGCCAAGTCAAAGGGTGCTTGTCTAAGGGGTGAGATGTACATCTCCATACCTGCTTGTAAGTAGGAGGAAAGATGAAAGCCAGGTAGCTTCTTCTGTTGTAGTTATAATCTGCCTCACTGGTTCTTAACCTTGGGTTACTCAGAAGTTTTGGACTGCAACTCCCAGAAGCCTTCACCACCAGCTGTCCTGACTGGGGTTTCTGGGAGTTGCAGTTCAAAAGCATCCGAGGAACAAAGGTTAAGAACCACTGATCTACCTGATTCGGACTTCCTGTGACATAAGGAACTTGTAGCTGGATCTCCTGCGATCCTTTTAATAAACATTTTTTAGATTTTTGAACTGAAGCGTGGGACCCTAAAACTGATAAACCAATGGTACTAGAAAGAAACTAGAATAACGTACAGTTGTGCCCCACTTAATGATTACCCCACATTACAACGAAACCGCTTTACGACGCTGTTTTGCGATCACAACTGCGATTGCAAAACAATGGTCTAAATGGGGGAATTTCACTTAGCGATGATCGGTTCCCTGCTTCAGGAACCGATTTTCGCTTTACAACGATCAAAAACAGCTGATCGTCGGGTTTTCAAAATAGCCACCGGGTGCTTAAAATGGCTCCCCGCTGTCCTTAGGGATGGATTCCTCGCTATATAGGCACAGAAAATGGCGACCCTATGGAGGATCTTAGCTGAACTTCTTTTATTTATTAACTCACCATGCTTATATGCCACTGAGTAAAGTTCTGTGGATGGTTTATAACAAAATAAAACAACTTCACACAACAGGAAAATCGTGAGAGTTCAGAACCCTCTTCTTTTGCTTCTGCAATTTAAAAAAACAAAAACCAGAACTTGCTGCTGATGCCGCCAGGTAGTAGTTATCATCACCTTGCTCCGATACACAACCATTTTATTGAATTAAGTATTGATAATATGTTATTTAATAGTTACGAATAGTTCAGAAAAATCCAAGCAAAGACTCTAGGGTTCCCTCTAGTGAGCAGTTTTGATATTGCAAAAAGACAAAACAGGAAAGGAAAGCATGCTGCTTATATATTGCCCTTTGGTACTTAAAGCTTTCAATTGGGTAGCTTTCAATTTAATTATGCAGGCTGCCCATTGCCCCTTCCCCAGGGAGCTGGGTACTCAATTTACTGACCTCAGAAGGATGAAGGATTAATCAACCTTGTCAGGAACGATTCCTGAGCGTTTTTCACTGGGTTTTGAGTCCCGTCTTTCCCTCACACAACTGAAAGCGAAGCTTCTGGTCTGCATAAGGCTGCTGTTGAAAATGGCTGCTGTGTGTCCCCTTCTTGTTACTTTCTCACAACATCGAGAGTAAAGTCCACAAAGGAGAAGAAGCAATGATGCCATTATGTTACCACATTTTTGATCCATATCGTTGGCTACCATTGGCATAAGTGGTGGGGTAAGGTTATCAGGGTTCAGGAAGCCAGCTGAGGTCTCTGGAGATAGATATGCTTCTTGGTGTCTCCGCTTGAACAACACCGGGTGAAGGGAAAGTTGGATTTATCTCCTTATAATGTAATTGTTTCTTTCTTTATTTTCTTATCTATGCCACCTTTCTCCTGATGAAAGGACCCAAGGTGGCTGACAAATTATTAAATTCCAGCTATTGCACTTAAGTGGAAAGAAGCGCGCCCTGTTTCTGATCTGGTTTACATGTTGCATTGTCTCGTAGTCAATCAGCCTAATCGAAAGAGGAAATCCGTCAAGGAGCCTGGAGAACGTGTGTCGTTGGGCTTACCAGCAACAGAAAGCCGATCCCAGTCATTCGGAGCACCACGATCATGCCATATTTCTTACTAGACAAGATTTTGGGCCGGCGGGAATGCAAGGTAGTGTAATCAAGACATGATTGTGAGTAGTACACATCTGTGTGCACTAGCCCACCTGTGCACACACACGCAGAGACACAAGAGTTTTTGTAAAATTCTGGTTCCTTAGTTCTGTTGTTCACCAGAACTGTGTATCAACTCATTTTCACTGGCCAAATGGAGTTCACCATAGTATGTACCTGCCTGTCATGCAGGTGTTAGAGAGGAGAATCCTGTGAGGGGAAAGAGAGGTGATAAACCCTACTTCAGTACTCACCAGATTTAGATTAGGCATCCTTCAGTCTCAAGAGACTGTGGTAGTGTGCTCTGAATAGAGGACTTGGAACAGCATCTAGTGTGGCTGAGAAGGCCAATTCGAGAGTGACCGTCCCTTCCACACTCAGCAGAATACAGATGGATTCAAACCCAGAGTTTGAGCTAGACTAAACTGATCTTGGTCTGTTCTTGCTTTTCATTCTTGCAAATATTTATCAGCTTCAAAAAGCAGTAAGGAAAACTAGAACTCATGAAGCCAAGGTTCACTGAGGGTCAGAGACAGCCAGACTGGTTCCCATCCTCAGAGATGTGGTGGAAGAGAAAATATGTGTTTTTCTGCTGCCCAAGGAGATGGCTGACAAATGTTGTGAGGAAAGGAATGTACAGCATATCTTTTCCATTCAAAGGTGGCAGGATCCATGCCTCACATCTCTTGATACAGTTGGGAAAGAGCCACCCCCAAACTGTGAGCTGTTCATTTAGTACCACTGAACTCCAGCTTGTAAGCAAAGAGCAAATGGATAGACGGTCTCCATGGTAGTCATATAGGATAGAGCTACTGTGGTGTAGACCTTTTGAAAGGAACATGACACCAGACAGCTGAATCCCATCCCTCCTCAGTTGTCCATCCATCCATACTCATACTGAAAGCTAATTAGCGTTCCCCACTTTTAGGGGGGTTAATTCTCAAAAATCCTAATTCTTTTTGATTTAGGTTCCTTGACATAAGAAAAGACCTAGAGAAAAATCCGCCTTGGAGTGCTCACCACCTCTTGGTACCATTGTTGTACTGTTCTAACAGTTAAGAAGTTTTTCCCGTTATTCAGCCTAAATCTAGGTTCCTGTAAAGCGGCAAAATTTCCAGCAAAGGCCATCGTTATGCGAATTCATTGTTGAGTGAGGCACTCGTTAAGCGAGGCACCACTGTACTTAGACCAATGTTATGACACAGGACAGGACAGCTTCCTGTGGCACAAAAGGAAATATGTGGAAATATATTCATTGCCCAGAAGAGAAATGAACATTTTTCTTCTAGACCTAAGAATATTGTCAATAAATCTGGTCTTTGGCTGGGGTGGGGGAGGGGATGGCTTTGGGAGGGTAAAGAAATAATGTGACATTTTGTTTTGCTCCAAAATCTCAAACTTGAACCCTTCAACAGGATATGCTCCAGTAACAGGCATGTGTCACCCCGTCCGGAGCTGTACTCTTAACCATGAAGATGGATTTTCTTCAGCTTTTGTGGTTGCCCACGAAACTGGCCACGTGTAAGTCTTGTTATGAAACAGAAGTCAGCCACTAGAAGTTCCTGGACAAAATCTGCCCCTTATGCATGTTATGTGCCTCTTCTCTTACGATCTCTAAGCAAGACACTTGTGATGAGGTACTTATTTCTATGACAAACCAAAGTTGCTTCTAAGCAGTTTGGGGACCTTGCTTCGTAGCCTTCTCCTCCCTTGTAAGGTGACCTTCCTGAAGTTGTGTGGAGATGAGGCCCCCCCAAAAAAACAGCACGGGGAAGTACTCATTTAGTACCACTGAACTCCAGCTTGTAACCCAAGGGCAAATGGATAGATGGTCTCCATGGTAGTCATATAGGATAGGGCTACTGTGTTGTAGACCTTTTGAAAGGAACATGACACCAGACAGCTGAATCCCATCCCGCCTCAGTTGTCCACCCATCCATACTCATACTGAAAGCTAATTAGGGTTCCCCATTTTTAGGGGGGTTAATTCTCAAAAATCCTAATTCTTTTTGATTTAGGCTCCTTGACATAAGAAAAGACCTGGAGAAAAATCCACCTTGGAGCGCTCACTACCTCCTGAGGTCATTGATACCATTGTTGTACTCTTCTAACAGTTAAGAAGCTTTTCCTGTTATTCAGCCTAAATCTCGGTTCCTGTAACTTGAGCCCAGCATTATCTGTCCTGCACTCTCGGATGATGGAGAACAGATCCCTTCGTCTCTATGCCAATTTTTCAAGTATTTGAAAAGTGTTAGCTCCCCTCAGTTTTCTTCTCTCAAGGCTAAAGCATGCCCAGTTCTTTCAGTCTTTCCTCCTAGGGC